TGACTGACGGCGACAATTTATTTCGTGACAGAAAGAGGGAATCGGATAGAAAAGTTTCTGTTGATGTTTATGCGCCATTAACGAGATCGCATTTTGCCGAAGCCGGAAATCAAAGGGCGAGGCATCGACGCAGCGGTAAGGGTGGGCTTCTCGATTTTATGTTTCCGTCGGCGTGAAAAGGGAAACCTTCGAAAATCTCCCTTGATGAACGGATCCCTCTTTTCGCGAAAGGTTCCCTTGAGAACGTCAAAGACTCGGGTTATGATAAACGATCGACATACATATATATATTTAAAAAAAAAACCACCATTCTTTCATTATTATATAAACGTTATTATTATTATTATTATATATGTATTCTTATTTAAATATACGTATTATTATAATACATGAAAAAAAAATGCGGAACACATAAAAGTATATTTAATTACAAATCTTTGGTGCCGAATTCAAAAGAATTGTGCATAGTCGAATATATATAAATATATATGTATGTTATACACACATTATAAATCTCTCATCGCGACGACAGACGATAAGAATCGTTACAATAAATTACGTACGGGAGAAGGGAGAGGATGCATCTTTTATTTCTAGAAGCTCTTTTCGCAGATAGTTCAGCTCTAACATGAATTCACTATCCCACTCCTTGATTTCTGTTCGTGATATATGGGATTTTTTTTTAATCCCGTTCCTTCTCCACACAACTGTCTGATGTAGGTGCCCCAGTTTCTACTTATATTCATGCCGGCTGTACTCCCCGTATATCCGGCGAGTAAAGGGCGAGTGAGTTAAGCCGTTAGTAACAGATGCCGCAGTCTTGCTTGTATCGGTTTAATTCGTTGGCGCGATAACCAGAACTTTCCCGACGACTCGACGGGATGCGTCTTCATAAACCGCGAGCCATAAACTTTCTCCGAATTACGATTACAAAGTGACTAATTCCTTTTCCGCTCCCGTGCCTCCTAATTACGTTTGTGTTATCCGGGAAATTCCAAGTCTTCCAAATGGGAGATACGTGCGCGCGCGCGCGCGCGCAAATCAACGCTCTCGGGGTGCGAAATCTGAATAACTTAAATAAAGAGCGACTCGAAGAGGAAGACATTGACGAATAGAATTCTACTGAATGACACATATGTGATTCACACGATTACGTTGATATATTGGGAGAGAAAGAGAGAGAGAAAGATAGAGGGAGAAGAGAGAGAGTGAAGAATAGACGACATAAGGGAAGGTAAGGTAGACGGTTTGTATTTCAAATTTAAAAGCATTCGACAATGGACGCGCTTCTCGTACTGTTGACTCACTCGAGAAGAAGAAAGAGAAAGAGAGAGAGAGAAAGAGAGGACAAGAAGGAAAGAAAGTGTACGGAAGTGGAAAGAGTCGGCCGAAGAGAACGGCAACTGAAAACGAGGAAAGATAGCTCGGAGTTTTGTGAGGGACTGCAGACAATTTCCGCTGGGCTTAGTGGCTTCAGACTCTCCAAATAAATTATTCCGCGGATGAGCGACGCTGCTTATTTTTCAGCGTTTTCCAACCCACCGCTTGAAGCGCACGCAAGGCGTTTAAGAAGCATCGATCGAGAAAGAAAAGATGTAAAAAGACGGAAAAAGCGAGAGAAGAAAACAAAAGTAAAAGAAAACGAGAGAAAGAGAAAAAAACGGGAGAAAGTTTTATCATACCTTTCGGCAAGACTTATTTAGACACACAATATTGAAGACGGTATATATATATATATATTATAAAATACGATATGTATATATATATATGTAAAACTTCCGGCACGGGAGAAAGGAGAAGAATAAGCGTGCGCATATTGTTTTGCATAATAGATGTTAAACAGATTTTCATGGACGCACAGAGATGCTAAATATTCATTATTTAACTGCATTCAATAGTCCATTATACATATTTAAAATAAAAAGAGAAAGAGAGAAGGATAAAAATAAATCGATTTTATTTCACTACGCACCATTTAAATCCCAGATCTCCAGATATGGAAAAAAAAAAAAAAAAAAAAACCCAGACTGTTATTACGAATGTAATTGCGATATTATGAAAAACATCGGTAATGCGGTCTTTGTGAAAAATCTCGTTTAACCGTATTACACGCGACATTGAGGTAAGAGTTTGCGAGAATTTCAATTTGCGTAAGTATGGAAAAATTGCATTGGCAGAAAAGTATCGGAAATTCGTGTTTCAATATTATCTCGACGTATCGTTTCAGTTACTTCCCGGCCGGCGCGTTGAACGTCTCTATATGTTATGCATATTTTTTAATACGCGCGCGCAGCACCGCGAGATTTTATAATTCACCGGCAACTTTGTTAAAACACACAGCCGCTTTCTCTCTCTTTCTCTCGGTATAATATTTTCATGGAAAAATTCACGTTTTCGAAAGGATTAAGTTTTGCGTTGCCCTCGAGAATGAAAGAAGATCGAAAAATGAGGAAAAGGGACTGTGAGACTTGTCCGCCACGTATTTCTCGCGCTTATACCGTCTGTATAGCATCGCACGACGAAAACGTCTGAGAAGGTATCCAGGAATGCGGGCCATGAGTTCTAAAGAGCTTTTGCAATTTCGCGTGCACTTTCCTTTAGAAATTCTTCTCCTCTCGCGACCACTCCTTCTCTGATCCTCATCTCACCCGCATGTGTCGTCGTTTCCCGATATTATTTCGAGCTGTCTCAATTATCGCAACGCATCAACCTATCTTAAAATAATAATCGTAATCAAAGGAGCGCCTCCGCGCGGATTAATAGAGTTAGATTTTAATAAAAAGTTTTTTTTTTAAAGATTTTATAAAAAGTTTCGCGCTTCAGAGAGCGGAGTTCCGCGGCGAAATTGCGCTATTGAATCTCTGTGAAAGGACGGGGACCAACTGCAGCAAAATACCCTCCTTCCTCTCTTTTGCCTCTCCTTCTCCCTCCCCTTGTATTACGAGCGACTGCCATTATAGACGAAACACGCGCGAGTACAGCCGATTTGGCTACTTCCGCTACGGCTGTCGAGATCAAACGGGACGCAAACGAGGACGCGCACGTTCGAAACCCGCGCATTTTTTAATCAGCACTCAACCCGGCCCGATTAAGCGGAATCTGCTGGCTATTCTGATCGTCGATCAGCATTGTGCCGCGGCGCGCGGAGCTTACGCGGCACGTTGCAAAATCATTGTCCATACCAGATGGGGAGAAACGTCTGGCGTATCGGCCAGCAAAATTGCGCTCGCACGCGAGCCCCAGCTCTCTACGCTGATTTTCAATAACGTTATATAATCGGAACATATCTGATATATTTGGCTCATAAAATTCATTATTAATTTATCTATTTCATTATGTTGCGCGTAGAGCGCGGCGCATACAAAAAAAAAAAAAAACGTCTTTAATTCTCGCGCGTTAAAACAAAATTAGATCTCGGATGATAAATTTCTGTTTCATTTCGGAAAATTTTACACAAATGTGTGAATAAACAACGCGAAGGACAAATTCTCACACACATCCTCGCGACAACCACACAATCGCAGAATGTACCGCATGTTTCGCTCTCTTGTTCCACTTTATTTATATTCGCGTGTAGAGAGTGAGTTAAGAGTCTCCCCCCGTTCGTTAACGCGGCCAGGAACGAAGGCCACACTAATTAATGCGGCGAAACTTGTCAGCGAATCAAAGCAGCGGGCGCTTCCGCGCGTTTGCATTCCTTGTACGTCCTCCGTTGCTTCTCTCCGTTTTTGGAGAGAGAGAGAGAGAGAGAGAGAGAGAGAAAGGGATGTGACGAGAAAGAGAAGAGAAGAGAGAGAGAGAGAAAGAGAGAAGGAAGGGGAGAGACAAAGTGCTAGAGGGTGAGAGCGTCTCATCCCTTAAGAGGAAGGCTTAATAGGATGCGCCGGCGGTTGCCCCTATACGCGCGATATTCTCTTCCCGCTATCGGGAAGGTGTTAGCTTCCGGATCCGTGCATTCGCAATTTGCATTAGCCGGAGCGAATTACGCGAAATTTATGCGAGCCGGGGATACGGCCGGAGCTGCCCTCGCTTAAGCGTATTCGGGGCCACTTAGGCGGCCGCTCTGGCACTGAGAGTCGCTCTACTTATGGCGCCGTGGACAGCTAATGTCCGCAACTATTTCTCTTCGCTGTGCAACCCGCCTGCCGTCTTACGATATTATTCCGTGAGCATTGTCTTGCTCGCCGGGAGCGAGCAAGGAGAGCGCGTTTGCCAAACGACTTTGTCGACCCGCGATTAATCGTTCACACCGCGCGACCGCCGTTGTTGTCGTCGTCGTCGGCGGCAACGTTCCGCTCAATGTCGCCGACGATCTCGCGGGAAAAGTGCGAGAAAAAAAAATAAACATACAACGATATCCGATACGGTTTTGCAAAAAATTATTCTGAAATCAAATTAATCAAATTCACAGCACACACGTGTCTTCGAGAATTTGCGATGTAAATGTAACATTGTAAAAAAAAAAAAAAAGACGACTTTTCACATGTGACCGATATATTTCGGTCGAAATATTCCGAACAAACGATATTTAAACGTTAATCGAGCTACCGCGCGCAATTGCGAGATACAAGTGATAAATGATACGCCCAGACTGTGAACGAGGCAACGAAACAACGTTTGACGTTAAATTAATGCAGTTTCAAACGCGAATAAAATTTTGTACTCCCCGGTATCGATGACAGAGACGCGCGGCGTCCCGGACCGGAATACACCTATGAACTGCAGTCACCAATCGGTTTGATCAATCGACTCGTGGCATGCTCTTTCAATTATCTCGGGACGGCAGCGGCTCCGATCGAACGTGAAAATTAATTGTTCGCGTAACGCACACTCGAACACGATAATTTGTATCTACTTTGTTTTTCAATTATTACTTTTTTTTTCCTGGAGAGAGCAAAAAAACTGCTCTCTTCAAATTGACGATCGTGCAACGTGTACATGTGTCGAGTATAGGAATTAATACGGTGAAATGTGTGTTCGAGAGAGAGAAAATTACTCACTTTCTTGCCGTCCAATTCGTGATTGCCCTGTGCCAGCACTTTGTCTACGCTCGCAGGGTCTGCGAATGTGATGAAGCCGAAACCCCTGCAAACGAAAGAAAAAACGATCGAGCATGAGTGTGTGCGCATGTGCCATTCAAGAACATTAATAAAACCAAGCACTTGCTGATAGTATAGATATTATTTTTATTACGCAATTACATAGGGGGGGGGGGCATGCGTTGCGAGATACGCGTATAATCTTGATGCGGCGCGTGTACATCAAAGCGCGCGATCGCAAAGAAAAAACCGCGGTTGAAAGCGTGTAACATATATTTCCGTTTATTAATTCGTTCTCGTAAATCGCGTGCGGTTACAACGCCAACATTCGCCGAGAATATCATCGCATTCTGCTCTTCTTGTTAGCCTTCTTGTTAAGCAATCGGGTTAAAATTGAAGTTAGATTTGAAAAATTCATTTAAAGAATCGTTTACACGACAATTGCTCAATCGTGCCGACTCGCTATTTTGCGATTTTTAAGAGAGAGAGAGAGTCGTGGGAGTGCACACACAGCAGCTATAGCAATTATTCAAAAATCTAAGGCTAAGATTCGAAACTAACTCGGAACGCGGCGGCATCGAAATTCGACGGATTAAAGCGAAAACGAATAACGCCCGGACGCGGCTCGCCGTGTCATAAATTTCACGCGAGGGCACATCGTGTATACACACGGATATATTAAAAGACAGTTCGACGCCGTGAGCTAAGGGGATGGATGCCGAACGCGCAAGGGGGATGAGCGATACGACGATACGGGGGAATGCAACGCGCCGAGGGCCGAACGCAAAGCGGTTTGCATTTTTCATGCCGGGGCCGCCCCGGCAGTTATTGAAAATATTTACATGTTATTTATGGGGCACACATGCTTCAAGAACCAAACGCGCTACCGTGCGCCACTCCCTCTCTCGCCGTCAAACCCTGTACGCGCGTACTCCACCTCTTTTCACAAACCCCTTTTCCGCCTCTTTTCCTCCGACTGCATCCCTTTTTCTGTTTCGCCGTTCCCTGCGGAGAACGGCGTATTTTGCCGCCGACCTCTTCTCTTACCTCCTTTATCCGCTCCCGTAGGCAACCCCGCGGATCTGCCAGCAACGTCTCGAGAATTCTACAAAACGTTTCACGCCTCTCTTACTGCTTCCGCTTCCTTCCCGCCGACGAAACAACGAATACTCGTATGGATTGAATTTTTGATGGACCCGAACCCTCCGGGTCCTCGACTCCTCACACACACACATACACACACGCACGCATGCACGCACACACGCGTACATACATTTCTATATCCGCCTTTTCCCTTTTCTATCGCCCGTGCTGGGGCGCGAGTTGCACGGAAGCGTCGCGACTTTCTTCTTTCTGTATCGATTTCTTCGGGGCACGTGATATCGGCGATACGGAGTCGACAACGCAAAGGTTGCACCTTAAGAAGACGGAGGAAGAGGAAATGCATACATTGCGTGCGGCGAAATCGAAAGGTAAACCTCGACGATTGTTATTCCACGTGAGCGACGTTCAAAAAATACGGGGCGATGACGCCACGCCGTGTGTTTCCGGTGCGGCGGTGTTGGAAAAAAGCTAGTTTTATTCTTGGTTCATTTTGCAACAGCGAATTGCCGTATATTGACAGAGCGATATTCCGATAACTGCGCTGTCAACACACATGACGCGTGTGTGTGTATGCATATCGGAATGTGTACACTATTTTTCGTCTCGGCGAAACTTTTATTAAACGCCATATATTTTATATAGCTTCTTACTATTCTCAATGCTCGGTTCCACAAATATGCGCGTTTCTCCACAAGATCGCGCGCTGCACATTTGTGTAAGTCTTCCGAGATCTTGCGCGCAATTTTTTTTTTTTTTTTTTTTTCAACCAATAAATTTTCTTCGACTCACAACAACCGCAAAAAGCTATTTTAGGTATTAGTGAGTTCGCGTTTCGCTCGCGCAGCTACGAACGACGGTGGTGTACGTGCGGAATTTTGGGGAAATTTTCGCAGGACGCACGGACGAAACGACAATCGCGGCAAACGAACAGCCGCTGAATCGGCAGTCGTCCAATCAGCATTAAAACGCCAAACAACACGAGCGAGAACATCGCGGACGGCTCGCATTTACATACAGCGAAACGACGAGACCGTCCGGACGTTCTCTCTCTTCCTTTCTTTCTCTCTCTCTCTCTCTCTTTCTCTCTCTCACACACACACACACACTCTCTCTCTTTTTCTTTCTCTTTCACACTCTCTTTTACGACATCGCGTTTATGATGGTGTACGCGCAATGTACACCGAAATCACGGACGTAGAACCAGGGAGAGAAACCAGGAGCAAAATAATTCATTCTTTTTCCACGGAGCATCCTTTTATTCAAATAACCAAACTTAATTCGATATTATTCAACCACGAACGGATTTAATCTTTAATTTGCGACAATTATTCGCGCGAAGGAAAATCGCATCACGGCGAGTCGCAAATCTTACGACGGTACATCAGAAAAGTCGAGGAGCCACTCGAGAATCATTTCCAGGATAAAAGAGGGATCCATCGTGGACCCATCGCTCCATCGAGGCCCTAGTAGCGCGCCACTTGTCACCTTTCCCCCCACCCCAACTCCGACCATTGTACGTGAATAATCTATAAAAGGCTGAGTAGAAGGATGGCGGCTGACGTGTCCCTTGTCTACTTGAGCACGGTCTACTTCCACGATCTTCTACTTTTCATCCTGCTCCTCATCCTCCTCCACTCGTCGTTCTCCGCTCGCGTCTCGACCATCGCGTGTCCCTTGTTCCACCTTTGCCGACTTTAACCGCCCTTTTCGCACGCCTCACCACGCGCCGCGCGCGCCGTTTCCGGCTACGAAAGGGTGTCACGTCGGGCTGACGCGGTGCATTTGTTTGTCACGACCTCACTTGCCCTACTGTGCAAGAGAAGCAAAAGCGTACGCAAGAGAACATCTCAGACACGTGCCGCCGCGCGAGAGGAGAAAATCCCGGGTCCGAAATCAGTTTAAGATAACACAGCGCGTCGTGAACTTTCCCGCTTCGGGAGAAATTCGACGAAGTAAAAAGTTGGGCGAAAAGTCGCGAAGATATTCAAATTTACGGAGCAGATTCATCGATTATTGAAAGTTTCAGCGGGAATATTGAAAGCCCGGATATGATAAAGGAGTAACTTGAGGATAATTTCAAAGGGTAAGGAAAGAGAGAGAGAGAGAGAGAAAAAAAGAGATACGATTCTATCCTCCGTATTCACAAATAAAATACACACACACACTCCTCTTTTTTTTTCACTTTATGAAGGTAAAGTACATCTCATCGCGTAAAACTGTGCAGACTTTATATCCTACCGGAAAAATACAGTCGCGTGATGTTTTTTCACTCCTCGCTCTCACTATTTTTGATTTTGATTTTCATGCGTTATTTCTGACATCTCTCTAATGTGTATCATATGATTTGTAAGACGTATGTACTAGCTGTTATCGCGGTGACAGGTTCGCTGACACTAAACGTTAAAATAAAAACGATAATAGCGCGCGCGTCTGTGTCTCGTGCTAGTAAAATAAAAAAATAACATCGGAAGAGAAGAGGGGAACAATGAAATGCCAAGTAAATCAGTTTAACACAGCTCGCATGCTGCACCTAATCCTGGTATCGCGTCGAAAGGCCACCACTTCCAGGCTTGGAATTTACCACGAGGCGGGATAAAGGTGGAAGAGGACGTCAGTGTATTAGGTGTATTTATGTAGGCGGTCTCATTGCGCGCGAACTTACTGTAAGTACCGGCAGTTACTTAGCCCGACAGTTTCTGCTATTGCAGCCGGCAGCGATATACTCGGCTCGGGTCGGGCCGTAGCTGAAGCCAGTTACGGACCTAGTTCGGGGGATAAGGGCGAGCACATTCCACTACCATCGTCGACGTTGCTTGGGGGAAAGGGGGATGAGTCTAGAAAACGCCTCCTTTTCTTACCCTTCGTCCGTGCCCGTTCGCACCGTGTGTTTCGCCACGTCGCCACGGAAGTTTCATCCACCTTACGTTCTCTCTCTCTCTCTCTCTGTGCTTTTGTCGCTGGCGACTGTATAGTAACTGCTCTTTAACTAACCGCCTTAATCCGCTTCTCGGTCGCGCGGAGGTGAAGACAATCAGCTCCGCCGTCGCGGTAAGAAACATGCGAAACTCGCAAGCCAAGCTCGCCGATCTTCCGACTGGTCGCGTCGCTTTTCTCATTACATGTGTCTTTTTTTTTTTTTTTTTTTTACACGCGGAATACTCGTGTCGTAAGACAGCTCCCTTCTGTTTTGTGTAAAAACCGTCGCGAAGGGGATGAAGAACGAGCGCGACACTTCGTGTCGTTCATTTCCGTGTCATTTAAGTGGCGAATAAAGAAATGATTGAAGACATCTTTTTAAAAAGAGAGATTCAATTAACATCTAATTGCTTTTCTCCCGTCTTCTCCCTGCGTCATTTATCTTATCAATCAGAATAAAAAAGAAAACAAATTTAATGTAAGTAACAATGAGATGTTATTTTCTTTAAGACGTAAAAAAAAAAAAGAAAACCGCGGCGATGTTCCCCTTCAATTCTTCAGCAAGAGACAATAGCTTCTCATTTTGCGCCCGTGGAAAAGCGCGCTCTTGGGACTTTTGCCGCGACGCGGATTGAAATGTTTCCGCAAGGATCAACTTAACCCTCTCTCATATAATAATACTTTCGGGCACTATAAAGCCGCGCGTTATAAAAGCGTCTCTACATATTTATATTGTTACGACGATACATCCAATCGAATTACGAGTTTAAAGACGCGTCAAGTCTGATGAATTTTATACAAGAACATTCTCTTTCCTTTTTTTCCTCCTTCTATCTTTTCTCTCTCTCTCTCTCTCTCTCTCTCTCTCTCTCTCTCTCTCTCTCTCTCTCTTTTTCTTCTCTCTATACTTTTCCGTCCTTTCTATACTTTCTCCTTCCCTCTTTCTCTCTCTTTCTCTCTGCCTCTTCACTTCTCTCTATCCACGCCGCCTTAATGACCGGCTGAATATTTATAAAGCCGACATCG